ATCTTCCATGTCAGAATACCTTCTCAGAAAGAAATTAATGACTGATGCTAGACAAAATATCTATGTATAGTACTTAAGTGGAATATTATCTATTTTAATATTCAGAACATTATATAATATAATTATTATCATTATAATTTATGATAGAATTGTAAGTATGTTATTTTCTTCTATTTCAGGTAAGAGGTTCTTATTCGACTAAATCTTCGCGTGAATGCAGAATTTCGTAGACGAGGGGTCCCGTTCTTCTCGGGTAAGTCGATCCTATTCGTATTAATGGGAAAAGTTTAAGTCGCTCTCGTTGGAACGTAATACTGTATAATGGTTATATTAGTGAACCGCGACCAACTGTCCCGTCAAGGCGAACACCATTACCCCGTTGACCTTAATAACATACTTATGATAGCGATTTATATATGTGCAGGGACAGTCGCTAGTCGTGTATATCGCGATACTCACCTGATTTATTATGCTCCGCGATGATTTTTCTGTCGTGTGTCACGTTTTACACGTATAAATATCTCCTAGAACGTTAAACTTATTTTTTAACCACACTCATTGCACATGGTATTCTTTCATAAAAACAAATTTACAGTGAATTAATATTTAAAAAAAAAAAATATATCTCGAAAACAAATCTTGTTTGCGATGAATATACTATATTTGATCCTCCATTTCCATAAAAATCTAAACAACTTTCATGTGGAATATGATTCGAAATACGAAGCATTTTTTCAAACAGACGAGAGCGCATTCTTTCATGCGGCATTTCTTCCGTTTGAAATAGCATCCAAACAGCGGAGATTCTACTCACACAATCGCGTTCCAACAATTTAAAACCAAACTCGCACTCGCAACGCGATACAGGCAGGCAGGCGGACAGGTAGGCAGAGAAATAACGAATACGAGTAGGCAGCAGTTTCCACGTGTGCGGGTGAGGTTAGGTAGGACGGAAAAACTCTGTCGAACATCGTTGCCGGTGAAATTTCAACTATGTTGCTCGGAAAATTGCCTGGCTGAATTACGATTTCCGTCTTCCTCGGCATAATATATCGCAGACGATTCCGGCGTGCTTTTGACGTGCCAGGTTTTATCCGCTCGTGATGGAAAAACAATCTGTCTGCAATGAAACATGGGCGTATGCTCTTCATAAGGTAAATGTCCCAATTTTTATTCAGCTAAGCATGGTTCCGTTATCAGTTCAATATAAAAAACTACGTATATGTCGAAATTTATAATGAAAACTACTATAAAGCGTGGAATTTAATGTATATTCAAATGAATCAGGCAACGAACTATTTACAATCAATTTTTTCTATAAAATGTAGGCTTGAAGTAGATACCTCTAATGTCTGTATTTCTACTCAGTCAATAGTCGGTGTCATTATTTCTATTCAGTAAGAAAATCATGTCTCTACTTTTACTCAATACTGTACTGTATACTTACTATGACTGTATTTCTACTGAGATTGTTAAATACTTATTTTATTAACACGTTAAGCGCTTTGTTAGCCACCAGTAACTAACACTATAGTTTTCGTTGACTACGTACAATTTAAAAAATTATATTCCTTCATTAATAAATTTTAAATAATTTGGAGATCATAAAAGAATGCACCTAAATAGAGAAGATAAAACTGGTTTGGCGTTTAACGTGTTAATTTGAGGGTCTAGAATACTAATAAACAAACGTCACCAATAACTATTTTGATTTTATTAACTTTATTTATAACCTAATATTCATATACGATGTTAGTTCCGCAGTTTCCTTTTTCAATCAGAAATCATCACTTAGGTGTCCAGTACATCCCTTGAGGATGCCTAAAATTATTTAGTTATTTTATTTATTAATTATCTACTTATAGTAATAAGTGATTGTTCTTATAAATATCTATTTCCTTTATTATTTTTCCTTTCCTTCTCCCTGTGGAAAATTTTCAATGTATAATACGTTTTTTAAAAATAAAAATTAATAGTGCATCATTAAGATAATTAGACAAGACTTTTATAATGAAAGATCATAATGAGGCTTTGAATTGTAAAAATTTTTAATATGGGAATTATTCTATGAGTTTTTTTTTAACGTGGAACCATTATAGAAGTGTGATATAAAAATACTGTACGCGCATTCAGGTTATCCTTGAGTTTCTTACGTAATTATCAAACGTCATACGAGTCGCAAAGATCAAAATCGCGGAATAATAACGCGGATGTCACATCTACCGATCTGGACTGCAATCGCGGCCTGAATTCCTGGTTTACGTGCATTTAAAAAAACTGTCCCGTCCGCTCGATGGAACCGATCTACCCGTGATAAACGTAGGAATAAAGAAAGCAAGAATCGCGTGGCCCCGATTTCAAACATTTTGTTACGATAAAGGCGATCGAGGACATCCATCAATTCCATTCAAATATACGTTTCACTTTTTCTAAAGCTTAAATCCTTTAGAAAGGGAAAAAAATTAATCGTGAATGAATTATCGTATTAAATCATTGAAATCTAGAAAAATGAATTTTAACTATTTTGGCTGATATCATCGTTATTCGTTTTCTACGTTACTGAAATTAAAAACTAATCTAAAAGGAATTTATACTCGCAGTTAGTATAATAAGCTAATTTGCAAGTTAAAGTATTCGCAATTTTTATTTTAATTTTTTATTTCGAAAGCGAGCACTCGGTCCGCTGGTCATTTAAACATTTTAATAACTCGACGAATTTTTCGCTTTCTATCCGAAACTATTCGCGAAGCTCCAGCGTCGATCGAATTCGAGGAGCAAAAATGATTTTCGAAGGTCCGCAATTAATTTATACGCAATTCGATGTCAACCGGGGACAACGCGTTATCAGCAATACAATTTGATCACCGAAATAACCATGAAAATTACATTTATCCGATTATTTCGGCCGACTCGTCGCGAAATAATGGACACGAACGGTAGAGTGGACTCGCATTGCGAAGGAACGCGACGTTTGATAAACAGGACGACAAAAGGGTTGTAGTGATCGTTGCGAATCTCCTGCGTGTGTGCCGGTGACACAAAACGTCACGGGTTAAAAGATACGAGTAACGAGCGGTGGATAAAACAAATACAATACCGCTGAATAAATCAAATTTCGTGAACAGTCTATGGC